TATTGTATAGCCCATTTATGTGACCTAATTCAATTACCAGTTTCTATATCATGCAAACAGTAGTATTTCCGAAACCACTCACACTTCCTATAATAGACGTGTTGAGAAGATAAGTGAAATTCAAGGCGCAAAGCCAGGAAGCAGATCTTCTTCTCTCCCTATTTTTTAGCCTGTCATCATCCATCTTTGGATAATAACCAATTCTCTCCAACGAACACTTGTCTCCAATGTAATCCTGTGGTTAGTCTGATGTTGTCGTTCCAACCAATCTAAGGTGTGTTTCCTAATCTAACGTGCGTAGTAACTGAATTGTATCAGTTCTGAATTCTATCTGTCTGTCCTGGTTGTTTGTGTTTTATGAATTTTTCTATATTCCGTTTTTATTTCGTATCCCATCGCCTGAAAAACTTCTCGGCCACTTTCATACCTGTTTGTTGTTTATATACCATTTTATATCTGATTCTGTTTCAAGGCCTTTTCCTAGTAAGCTTCATATAAACCTTAACTTTGAATAATCCTAATATCAACTTAATATGCTACATTATCCTCTGCTTATCAAATTTTACAAACACAAGAGCAAGAGTAAAAATCTACAGACAATATATGAATAATGAAAGCATAGTTTTGTTTGATTCGGTTTCTAGGAAAAAGATATTGAATTTGGAGAAAGATAAAAGTAGTCATCACACGACATAATGATAAACGATGTTTACAATAAATTACCGCCGTAGTATTCGTAGTAGAGTAAAAGCAAAAGTGTATCATAAAGAAAACATATTGAAGTGAGTAATTTATTTAAATCTGAACGTAAAATTGTTGACATGAAAATAGTTGATGAGAATAAATGAGAAATCTATGAAATTGCCATATAGCAGAAGAAGTCTTTCATATCATTTGAAGTTGCAGTAGAGTTTGAAGCATGATGTTGTGTACTGTTACCGACAATTTGTGAAACCAAGCAATTTGTAAAATGTCTAATGATTCTGCAAAGTCCACTGATTGGACATCATTGACTGTCTATCACATCATCTGGGCAGTTTACAAATTGGCTAAGTACAGTAGGCGAGCAAAAAGATGACCGACCCCACGTGATCAGTTCTATCACTTCAAATGAAAAATCACGTGAGCTTCTGTCAAGTGTCATCTTTTAACTCGCGGTAAATCAACCAAACTCGTCTACTAATCCAGGAAAATTGTGCTCTTTTATCTTGTAGAGCAAAAATATCGCATTGACTCCCGAATCTAGTCGGCAGTAGTGAAACAATCACACTTTTTCAAAACTCGTTTCACGTCTCTGACAAATGATAAAGTAGTGCTCGTGCAACGCTTCGACCTCCCTTTTGTAATTTTCCTATTTTAAGGCAAAACTCCTATCGAACTGAAATAATCCAATTTATCGAAGTACCTATTCCCAATCATATTCGAAATCCAAAAATGGAATATAGCGAAGCTCGCGCGCTCCAACCAACATACAAATTTAAAATTTTTATTATTCAGCAAATAACGACTCCATCAAGCAACCTTATCAAAATCCTAACGAATGACGCAGTTAACGAGTTCTATAGTTTGTCCATCCGATGGCGCTTAAATTTGAAATCTAAAACCTTTTACAAAGTTTACTCAAGCGCCTTTACGGCCAACGAAACTTTATTGTTCATATAGAACAAATTTTTGCCATTACAAAATACGCCTTTTGGCTGATCAACGAATTGCTATTTATTAAAAAATTGAATTATTTTGTGCGCGTTTTAGTACACGATTCGACAGACCGACTATTCTCTATTAGAAATCGTCCGTTCCACGAAGGCGAGTTCGATATTTTACGGGTTGACGGCCTCGAAACTTAGTAGGCCTCCCCGTTTCTAGGGAAGACCGTCAAGTGGTGCTGCATATGCCAGCGAGCGACGTTGCCAAACCGATCAGCTTTCGAAATATTTTATGCGGGTTATTTATCATGGCCTACTTTTTGTCCCGTTGTTCGATAGAGAACGAATTTATATACACGTTTTTTTTGCTTCGTGTTTTAAGAAATTATTTATTTATGCTGGTTTTTTTTCTGTTTATGCTGGACGAAATTTGGGCCCTATGAAGAGATTAGGAGGCGTTCAAAAATATTTGTATAAATGGGAGGTCCGCAATCGGATCGGTGGTCGGGTTATCAGAGAAAAAGACTGGCCCCGGCGAAAACATGGCAACACATTTTATTATTTGCAAATCGGGTTCTGGCAAATTAGTATAGATAGATGACGGCGTATTTATTTATAAGTTTAGAATAGTTGCTATTTTGTCTCACCAATTTAGGGTGGATTTTAAACAAATTTGACAGAAAAAAACATTCTTCTAGATTTCCTATGTCTTTGGTACAAGATCCATTTCCACTTATATTAGCTCTGTGCTCTGTTCCAACCGACATGAGAACCGTTCTAGAACGGTAATTTCCAGTTGCCCACTCCTTTTTCAATAAGTTGAACATTTATCCTAATTGACAAATGAATTGATCGAATGTTCTAGAACGGTTCTCATGTCGGTTGGAACAGAGCTCTTATGTTTAGTTGTTCAATCGTATATGCTTCCAATAAGCGTTCAGGTGTGAAATTCCGTGGAGGTAATACGTAGATTATCCCAGTATTAATTTCTGTTATTAAATTATCTATTTTAGTGCCTATATAGGTAATTCTTTGCCAAGGGCCAAGATTCTAAGGACAAAAAAAGGTTGTATGACATAAGAAATCTTCTATGAAAACAGTCATGATCTGAATCTGCTGCTGGTGAAACCAGAAACCAGTTAACATCTCATTTTGTCTTTTGTCAAACAACTTTAATATTCAGAAAATAGCTTAGAACACTCAAACCAGAAGGTGCCTACTCAGTCCACAAACATCCCTCTCAAATTCTCAAAAATATGAGCGTCCAAAATACCAAAAAGGACCAAGAACCAAGGACAAATACCAAGGACAAAAAAAGGTTGTTTGACATAGGATATCTTCTACGAAAACAGTCATGATCTGAATCTGCTGCTGGTGAAACCAGAAACCAGTTAACATCTCATTTTGTCTTTTGTCAAACAACTTCAATATTCAGGAAATCCCTAAGGACATTCAAACCAGAAGTTGGCTACTCAGTCCACAAACATCCCCCTCAAATTTTCAAAAATATGAGCGTCCAAAATACCAAAAAGGACCAAGAACCAAGGACAAATACCAAGGACAAAAAAAGGTTGTTTGACATAAGAAATCTTCTATGAAAACAGTCATGATCTGAATCTGCTGCTGGTGAAACCAGAAACCAGTTAACATCTCATTTTGTCTTTTGTCAAACAACTTCAATATTCAGAAAATCCCTAAGGACATTCAAACCAGAAGTTTCCTCCTCAGTTCCACAAACATCCCCTCAAATTCCAAAAAATATGAGCGTCAAAAATACCAAAAACGTTCATATTATTCATCATTTACGATTGTACAAAGAGAAAAGAGAACGGCAGGCGGGCACGAAATTGGCAAACAACGGAGAATGACGCAAAGAGCAAAAGCAGCAGGCGAGTTTCGAGCTCGAGCTCTCTGCTACGTCGTTGGATAGAAATAACCATTTTGCCTAACGAGATATTCTTGTTCAAGGGCGACGGCCTGTCCGTCAAATAGTAGGTCCGGTCGCGCCGACGACTTCAAAAAAAATCCACGAAGCATACTGATAATTTCATATTTTTCATTCGCTTAATCAATTTTGGAAGAATTAAATGTACTAGTGGAGTATTTGGGTTGTTCATGTGAATATAAAATAATGTAGAAAAATCAGAAAAAGAAGGCAGTACCATTAAATAGTAGGAATTTTTGTACTAAACAAAAATAGAAACAAATCATAGTTGCCATGAGAGTAGAGCTGTTCTCTTTGAACTTTGCCTAAATGAGAAACCCTGTAAATCGATATGCCATGATAAATAACTACAAACAGACATCACGTCATTTTTAATCACTAATACCACGAAAACTCCAAATCCAATTACTCGTTGGCCTGTTTTTGTTGGCTTCGACCGCAATCCGGCAACGTCGCAAGCTTACCAACAAACAAGCCGGCTGGCTATCGCTGGGAACGAACCCAAGGCCGACAATTCAGCAACGTTGCCATACCGTACAAAAACCCGTAGATCAAAAGAATTATTACGAAACACATTTGTGCCGAAAATTGAAAAAGAAACAGGTGTGCAATAAACAATAATAATTGTTGTTATGATCATAACCAGGTCGATCAACTTGCCGGGTCGAGTCACTGCATCATCGATAAGAAAAACGTTATTTCTATTGCGTCATCGCCTACGACCTGTGGGTTTTTTAATTGCCTTAACATTTGTACTGCTGATCGACTGATGAGTGGTTTTTGCGACGATTGTTCCTGTGAAAGTCGGACGACAAAGTCGTACCGTTACTTTTACCTTTTATCGTGAAGGCGTAGTACTACTCAGGAGATGGACAAGACCATACCCACTGTGGTATTTTAATGATGACATTTTTAAAAAAAGACCGTATTGACCATTAAGGCCTACCCAATATTGGTTTGTGAAAAGTTCATGATTCTTCCATTTGGAATTAGAATCATTGCTGTACAGGGTGTCCAATATTCGATGGTTTTAGCGGGTTTCGGGTACCACTTGCGAGCCTCGATTTTCAAGAGAAGTTGACCGGTGAAACCCGCATCTCGATGTCTCGATTCGTTTTTAAGATACAAGGGGAAAATTTGACCAAATTTTTATAAATAAAAAAGTTTTAGCCCCCCTGCCAAACTCCACACTTTTCAAAAATCGCTCGTAGCATAAAAACGACTCGACATATCGAGATGCGGTTTTCACCAGTCAATTTCTCTTGAAAATTGAGGCTCGTAAGTGGGGGTCAGATTTTTTCCAACTCCTTTAGAAATACCCGAAACCCCCCCAAAACTATCGAATCTTGAACACCCTGTACACCTTTTAAAAAAGCTTATAACCCTGATCCTGATGATAAGGCCATCCATTAAATTCCAGTGATAAGGAAAATTTACATTAAACAACATAATTAATTTATTAAAGTAACATTCAAAATCCTATCACAATCAATATTTTTCAGTCATTAGAATCTATGGTTGAAACTCAATCCAACCCTTTTGTCCAAATTCATATTTCCAGGCCAACCCCCATAATGATTGGTGGCTCCAGCACCCAAATTAACAGTAGACTGACCGAAACCATTTTTACTCGACCAAATTGGATATGCGCCATCTACGGAAACAGTATGACCAAATCCGTTGTGGTGACCATGACCAACACTCAAACCAGAACCTTTTAAATACCAAAATGTGTCAATTATTGTAAAATTATAGGAGAAAATTGTCTTACCATCAGGATTTTGATAGCTCAAAAAACCACCTTGCGTCTTACCATTGGCACCATATTGGCCGAATGCTTTTGGATCGTTAGGACCGGGTAATCTTGGTTCATCTCTGCAACATAGTTCACTTATTGATACTTAAGTTATTAAGGTTCTTACGAGCCGTAAGTTAAAAACTGAACAAAACTCTTACCGTCTGTGTCGACTCAACAAGTCAACTGGTTCCAAATAGTATTGCTGTCCTTGGTCATCTTGAACCATAACTGGCAAAGCACTGGCTACAGCCAACAAGGCCACAGAAAAAATCACAACGAATTTAACCATTTTTACTTAAATGAAACAAAAATATTTCACAAATCTAAGTAAATGTTACTGATGGCTGCTATGGACCAAATGCATGTTTATATACATCTCAAGACAACTCTCAAAGGGGAAAAACTGTTGAGGTACTTTTTCTGTAAATGACATTATTGCTCCATAAACAATTATTAAGAAATCGTGGATATGCTTTAATATCGCCATGTTTATGTTAATTAACATTGGGTTATCTTTTGTTTGGCGAATTTTGGAAAAATATACATATAACCGGAATGGGTGATTTACTTAAGTTTGTTGAAAAGGGGATTTATGTTTTACAGATAATTATTGTGACTTTGAAACAAATCATAATAAGGAATGAAAATGCCTTTTTGTTTGGATATCATAATTGCCCGAAATTCATTTATAGTTTTTGGCCTTCCACTCGACACTAACCTTTTACACTGTACAAGTATATAAAATTTCCCCTCCTCTCACTTCACTTCCTTGAAGTATGTAAACAATATTATGCCTTCTTTTTTTAGATCATCGAATCCGTACGGTGGCCTTTCCTTGATCCAGGTCAGGTTTATTTTTGTTCCGCGATTGTATTATAGTATTTATTGTGTATACGAATTGCCGCTTTTTATTCAATTTACTATTGTGTCTGGCACCAGGCTGTCTGGGGGGACGAAATTTTTTCCGGATATTGCACAACCGGCGACAATTTTATACTCTATATAAGTTCAAGTATATAAGTGTGATTCTTTTTGCCACGCGACGCGTAACCTTTTGCGTTTTGATAATAATTGCGTAATTGTTTTATCTCTTGAATTTTGATAAACAGTTAAGTATTTTTTGTTTGATTTATTGTCTTCTAACAGTTTTCAGCTTAGTCTGCGTTACTTAGGTAAAATTTGCAGACAAGATCTTACGGAGAGAAAACTGACTGAATGATGACTTACAAACTACGCGCTTTATTCTTTCAATAGATTTAATAAAGATTAAGTACTGGTTTGATTGATAGTAATTTGCGAACCTATAATGTTAAAATAAACAATCCTATTGGCATTTAAATGTACCTTTGAATGACATCCATTTGGGCTCAATAACTATCACCAATCTGGAAAATGTTGTCCAAATTTTTGGGTATTCATGTTGATTGATAGATCACAACTTTTGAAAAACTTACTGTAAAATTGTCTCCTGGCTCTTATGCTTATACTTTTTAAAATCTGTAGATAGCAAAGGAACTAGACTCCTCTGCTTGTAGGATGGCTTATATTATTCTGCTATCATCTCATTTGCGTATGCGCTCTGTATGTTTGGAAAGAGAGGTAAGATTTTTGTAGGCCATGACTCTTCCATGTCTGTTTATTGCCGAGAGTGTACGTATGCCTGGTCTTTAGGAAGTATAAACATACTGTTACCTAGTCCCTATTGATATTCGACAAACTCTTCCTTGCTCTTCTTAACATACCTCTGCTAATTTCGAGAGCGGACCAGATAGAGTCATTTATTTATAATATATATAGGTATGTCGTTTTAGAACGCCTTTCTTCGTTGTCCGACACCTAATTTCCATCCTCTTATATCGTCGCAATGAGAGATTTTTTCACTTATGGACTTTTGTATGGTATTCTGCCATTCCAGTTTTGGTCTTCCTCGTTTTCTTCTACCTGTTGGTTGCCAGTGCAGCATTTTTTGGTCCAGCTGGTATTTGGCATTCGTTCTAAGCATCCGTATCAGGTAAGTTGTTTCCTTTCAATGTCCTGAACTATCGTTCCTTCTATTCCCATTTGTCGTTCCTTATTCTCTCTCTTCGAGAGATTTGCATGGATCTTCTAATAGGGTTTTCAACTTTCTTTTTTTGTCTGTCTGTAATTCTGCTCGGCTCCATATAGAAGGCTGCTCTTTATCATTGTCTCGTTTATATTGAATTTTCTCTTTGTTATTTCCTTGCTCCATAAGATTCCATTTAGGCATCCTATTACTTTTTTAGCTTTATAACTATTCGCTTTTCTATTTCTTTACATCTGTTCCGGGTTGTTTAATGTGATACCCAGATACTCATATTCCTGACATTGCTGAATTTCCTGACCATCGTCCACTTCCAAGTTTCCGTTCTGGGTGCCTACACATAGATATTTTGATTTATTTATATTAACTCTCAGTCCCCATTCTTGGTACTCTTCTATCAGCTTTCTAATTCTAATCATATATTGCATGTCCTTTTTGTCACTGTAGTACAGTCATACAAGGATTCATCTACTGAAAAAATCCGAATGAGCCTGAATTTTGTCTACACCTTTATTTTACCTCAATAATTAATGTATTAACGGCCAATTTCATAATCAAGTTAAAGTAAACTTTAAATTTAAAGCTCCATTTGAAGTTGAAAAATCCTATCCTAAAAGTCTATTTAGCTAAAGTAACTTTTAATTCTCTATTATGAAATTGGCCGTAAAAGTCCCCACCGATATCTTGTTTGCGTTCCAAGATATTCAAGGTCAAATATCACAGAAATTACTTTTTCTTAAATATTTTGCTTTCGGTATGTCCTACGACTATTTCGGCTAAAAATATTGCGTAATTCTCTTCAAAAAACGTTATTCACATATTTTATGTCATACCAACCGTTTCCACCTGATATGCCAGAAAAACATAGGGTAGCACCCGTTTCCACACCACCCCAGAAGTGAGATGCAAGGCGGGTTTTTTTCACATTGTATTTTTACTGTAGGCCTAATCCATGATCATTCTTGTTGTGACTTTTAGATGTAGAATGTACGATCTTCATTCTCGTAATCTGTCCCCTCTTCCACGACGTACAAATGTTAATATTAAACACAGCATCGGTCCATAATGTATTTGGTGTTAACATTTGTACCGTTCAGTTCTGGCTCCGAAATACCGCGCCACGTACCTAAAAGAGTTGGGTAGTGGGTAGACTGATCAGGAAAAGTATCGGCTGTACAGACAAGTCCAGCAGGATAACCGCAATCCTTACGTCCTGGTTGAACGTACGGACATAGATCAGTTATACTTTCTACCCCGCTGAGACACGCGATTCTGAATTTGTCACTAGAAGCTTTCGGGGACTGGTGCCGAACCCAGGACTTATTTCTTCGATAGTTGTTTTATTCCTTTATCTGCGCATTTGTCCCTGGTTTTTCTTTCTTCACTGAAACAAGCTACCTGGTGCTAATGGGCCCTCAACCACTATAATCCTAAAAGTGGCGCCCGAAATTACCGCTGGATTAACCAAAAGATAAATACTGACTGTTGAGCTGCTACAGCTCAAGGAAAAACCTAGGAAAACCCGTTACAAATTTGGCGACCGAGCAGGGACCATTTTGCGCATCAGCAACTGATCGTAAAGATTACGTCATCATCCGTCCTCCGTTTCACCGAGAGGCCGTTTATTTCGATATCGACCGATGGGTTGACCATGTTATATTTCTTCATGGATTCTTCAGAACCAACGGCGCTGCTTGGTGTTGACAATTAACAGTCATGAAACGGATGTCTTCTCTGATAATTTGGTCACAGTTTGTACAATTCGAAGGCGTTCTTTTGCCGGTTGAGATTTCTTATTTTCATACCAAGCTTTACTTAAAATATCACTTTGAGTATCGCGGAAACAAATCATGGTCGAAAAGGAATGAAGTTTTGTCGGTTACAACAACCGAAAAGCGTGGCAAATTGGAGCTCACCCACGTCCTCAGCATTGCTGGTGCTACGCTCTAACCAATTAAGCCATCATGACCCTAAGATCTTTTTGATTGGTGTTGTAAGAGGAAGTTGCGTGGTTCTCCGCTCATTGCCAAACTTCTAATTATACATTGATATTTCTTAGTTTTTTTTTTCGTCTGCTTCCTCGTTCCTTCACCACAAAAAAAAACACAAAGTTTTTAAATCGAAAGATCCCAAGCTAGAGCGTGTTTTGCGAAGAAAATACTGAGATGTACCGGCAGCATTGTCATCTCGTTGTCTTTTAGATAACACTATGCTACTCCCCTAGGACACCAACCTCCGATTCGAGGATTGATGCAGGTTTGCCTTACGACGAACTCGGTTTTCCGAAAAGCCTATTTCGCGCCCGAAGGATTTAATCGTTGGCTCTTTCTTTTCTTTCTTCGTGTTCGAAAGCAGCTCGCACCAACAATACTAGGGAGGTTCGTGCACTGGCGGCCTAGCGATCCCGATAGTGAGGGGACCCACGCAAAGTATTATCAGCCGCGCCAATACGCGATACAAGTGCAGGGTAAGCAAGTCACCACACTTCTGTCGAGAAAAATGAGGGGACTTTTAGATGCTACTATAAAAAAAATATGTATACACCTTGCCTTGCGACAGTTTTTCTGTACTGTTACCGAATCTGTATCCCATAAACGTTCTGCATGTTCATCTTCTCTTTCCACACTTGGTTCCACAAATCGTGTTTACTTTTGAGCCTTGAGGTAAAGGAATTTCTTAGGTTATACAACTCACTGTACATTTTTCCCATATGACATGAGAGGCTTAGGAAGTGATAAGCCTTTTGGGATTATCGCGCTTGGTGGCATTTGTCATTAATAATAATAAAAATTAATAAAGCATATAAGTTTAGTTCGTTGTATAACTTTGACACCACTCCTCCTTCGGAGTCGTGGTGTTGCTGCGTAACGCGTTTCGTGACAGGTAAAAGTATTATCCGGTAATCCTGAAACCTCTTGTGGTATTACATTCGATAATTTGGGACCGCAGAATCGAAAAATGCGTGATGCGCTTTCACGTTTACGTTACACCGCATATAAAAACGAGTTTTGGCCTGCGCCTGCAGGCTATAGCAAGTACGCTAGAACTCAGCTTCTAAAATATACAGCGGCGCACCCATAAAACCTGTTGGTTGGAGGAGAGGGGAATGAGTTGCATAGTGTTTAACCAAAATTTTTCTATTTTTCAATAAATGTGTATTGTGATGAAATTATGGTAAAATATTTCAAGTTCTGGGGTAGGTTATCACACCTATTCAAAGCCCTCGCTTAGTACGCAACTGACCTAATGTATGTAGGATAACCAATGTCAAAAGCTCTTTTCATATTTCTATGCTTTCAAAAATATATAAGTATATTCTTAATTACGCTCATGCGACTTAAGTATCAAAAAACATGTTGTTTCGCAG